AATGGACTAGTCATGCTAGAGTAAATTTTCTCCCATCATAACTGTAAGTAATTTGAATGCATAAATTTTGTTTCCTAAAGAAATGCCTTATTTAAATTATAGTTGAAGCCAAGAGTTTCATTCATTTTTAAAATAAGAGTGTACTGAATCTGTATAGCCTAAATTTCTTAATTATTCAGGTAGCATTGGTTTGGTTGAAAAAATTTTACAAATATAATCCAACAATTTAATGCTATTCTTCAAATCTTCATTAGCTGCTTTACTACCACTTACCATTTGCTATTGATGAGATTCGATATTTGCATTGCATTCCTCGCTCGTTGATATTTGCATTTAATCAGCAGGCGGGTGGGGGTGTAAAAAGAAACGGAATTTGAAGTTGGTGGAGATAAGAAGGGGAGGTGATAGGTCAAAGGTTGTGGGTCACATGTACTGCAAATATGTGGGATTAGTGAATGTGCCAAAATCACGTCAGTTATGAAATCCTCACATGTTCAAAATTTATGTTTTTTGGAAGAACACGTTTGTGATTGATTTATCTTTTCTCAGATATAATGAATTTGTTGGAATAATATGCGAAACGGGTAGTTTTTTCCTTTCCGGCCTGACGAACAGATGCCAGTTTTGATAAAAAGCAGTAACCGTTTGCGTAAATTGGCTATCGGTGTTGGAATTGCCCTATGTGGTTCAGCTGTTGGTATTCTTTACGATCAGGAACGATTCTTTCAGCTTGGACCTTTTCGTGTTATTCGTGCGGGTGTTACGGTATAGTGACTAAATGTATTTTCTTCATTTGTTAAAAGCGGTTGTTTTTTTCAACAAAAATACTGGTATTTCATGTTTTTGTTATTAGCATAACTGGTGTATTGTTGTGGTTACAAAGGATACTGTAGTACTTTCTCTCTTAATTTGTTTTTCCTAGAATAAATATACATTTGGATATATTTTTTATTTAACGGATGTGAAAAGTGAATGTACATAGGTTTTTTGTAATCTTTTTCAGGTACTTTGTATCGTAGCCGATTATAAATGGACTATGTGGACTTGTCCGGATACAGACGTATTGTATCAACAGAAATTGAGTGCAGCACATATCAGAAATGCTCAAAAATTGCTTAAATTAGCTGAGAAGAACGGTGGTGTTTATATCAAAGTGAGAGTTATATTTTAGTAGACACTAACGTTTTGAGGTAGCATTATCTGATTATTGGTAACAATGTGATTGTGAAGTATACCAACGAAATCTAACGCTGTAACGGTTTATTTATCTCTATATTAATTGGTAATAAGTTCTTTTTTGATCTTCAGGATTTGAAAAATAGCATATAGCATGCTATATATTCAGGTTGGGCAACATTTGGCTTCTCTAGAATATCTTCTTCCGGTTGAGTACACGGATGTTTTATGTATTTTGCATTCAAGAGCACCCGAAAGTAGGTTGACGGAAGTGCGGCAAGTTATAGAAGAAGATCTGAATGGCAGGGTAAGTGTGATTAAGATTTGAATAGTAGTATCATCCTTCTTTAACATTCTTTCTGTAATTTTAAAGGAATCAAAGTCTGGGTTGTGTTCTAGATAACGACAAAAATAATTTTTGCTTTCCATTACTTATCCTATATCATTCATTGTTTACTTGTCACTCACGCATGGTAGCTATTGCTTATTGCAGATAGGATTATATGGAGTACGCCATAAAATTGATACATATAATTATAGTTCAGATAATTTGTTCTTTTCAGCTTGAGGACATATTTATGGAATTTAATGAAACTCCGAAGGGTTCTGCTTCTCTTGCACAGGTGTACCGAGCAATTTTAAGGAAAAACAACGAAGAAGTTGCTGTGAAAGTGCAACATAAACACGTAAAGCCAAGGAGTTGGGCTGATATTAAGACGATTGAGGCACGATCTTTTTGTCAGATAAAGAGGATCTGCACAGGGGAAAATAATAGCACTGAATATTAAATGATTTTGGTTATGAAATATAGCCTCGCTCTGTCTTTTTTTGTATCCATATCAAATAGAAACCGGGTGGCTGATTGACTTTAGTAGATAATGGGTAGTTTCAGATGATCAAAATACGAAAAATTTTTCTTTCCAGGCCTTAACTAGGTTGGCGTCAAAGCTCTTTCCTGATTTTCATTTTCTTTGGTTGGTGGACGAAATGAAACGAAATTTGCCTAGGGAATTGGATTTTAGGATTGAAGCGGCAAATGCGAAAAAGCTAAAGGAAATGTTTTCACATCTCGACTATCTTAAGGTAAAGATCCAAAAATCGATGAATGATGTTCTGGGACAGTTAAATTTAGTCACTATGTCATTTTCTGTTATAAGAAGGAATTATATTATTGTCCTATATTATAAAATGCTTTTCAGTTTACTTATTATAAAGCAGTAATGTTGGCATTGCTTAAGTGAGGTTTGTCCCTAAACATAGACAATATATGTAAATAATTCTTTTTTATATCTACAATCATGAATTGTGCAATTATAGATTCCAAAGATATATGACGAATATACGACAGAACGTGTTCTTATTATGGAATACTGTAATGGTGCCCAAATAAATGACTGCAGTTATTTTACGCAAAATAATATAAATCGTTATGATGTAAGTATTTTTAAAAAATGAAAGAGCAACACTTTCAAAGATGTATTGCAGTAGCTGATGACTTTTATGATTTTGACTGTTTATTGCTGGTTTTTACTATTCAAATGTTTCACTATTTTTTATTGTTCAGTTACAGTCATATTCATGATTTCCCATTAAATGTTGCCATTTTTATATTTTTAATTTTACTCGTAACTGAGGAATACAATTACTTGAAAGTGTTGTTGTTTCATTTTTTAGAAGTGTAGCCAGGCTTATTATTACTGTCATTACTTTATTGATGATAAAGTTGCATTTTATCATCAATAAATATATTTCTATTATAGGTTTGTCGTAAATTGGGTGCACTATTTAGTGAAATGATTTTTATTAATGGTTATGTTCACTGCGATCCACATCCTGGCAATGTCTTGGTGAATAGAACGGAGGATGGATGTGTTTCAATCGTTCTTTTGGATCATGGACTTTATTTAGTAGGTCCTTTTATTGATGGTCTACTCATATGAATTTTGAATACTACACCTAATTTGTGCAGAGATTACTGATTTGAACTTACAATCTGAATCTTTGCAGGGAATTCAAGGAGTGAGTGAAATGGAATGTGAATGATAGATGATGGAATATATAAAATACTTTCGAGAATTGATGTGTTTTCATTGTTTGTAATTTGCAGTCGTTTACAAATTCGCAAAGAATTTTGAGTGTATTGTTTCATTTTGATTTTAATATCAAATATTGCAGACAATGGAATCTGATTTTCGGATAAAATATTCGAAATTATGGCTGGCACTATTAGAACCCGATTTAAATGAAGTTAAGGTTTGTTTAGTTCACTTTTATAATAAAGTTCAAATGTTTAGCTCTGAAATTTTTAATTTTTTTTCCAGAAATGTGCGCAGTCAATGGGTGTGGGTGAGCTTTATGGTCTTTTTGCCTGCATGATAACAAATAGATCATGGGATGCAATTAGCCATGGAATCGACAAATCTGCTGCTACATATGAGGAAGTAAGTTAAATTTACCTTTTGAATTATAACATTGTAACATTATGTACATATATATATATGTATTTGCTCTTATTGATTTATAAAAATAGTTGTTGTAAAAAATATTGAACAAAGTAAAAAATGATATGGTGCAGCATGCAGTTTGAAGACAGGCGTTCTATGCTGCAGACTAAAAAATTGGTCATTTTTTTAATTCAAAGGATTATAGCAACGAGAAATCAAGTCATTTGCTGCTACGCTGATACCCGAAATTTCACAAGTTTTGGAACGGATGCCACGCTCAATGTTATTAATTTTGAAAACGAATGATCTGTTGAGAAGTATAGAATATCGATTAGGAACACAAGGACGAGCGGATACGTTTGTTCAGGTGTTGTTGCTAATTAATTAATTTTAATTTCTTGTGAAAAATGACAGGAATGTTTTCTATTTAGATAAGAAACAGTCCAAATGGTAGATAAAATGCCACATTTTCAATGAATGAGACATCTATTAGTTTTACCGTAAAACAATACTTCTTGCAGTTAAATCGTTGAACAAGCACAACTTCAGATATTAAGGCACTGATCCCAACAGTGAAAACTGAAAAGTTATAGCAAGAGTTTATATTCTTTTTCAGATGGCTCGTTGTTGTGTTCGATCAGTTCACCAACGTTCTGCTGAACAGGCGAATTCGTTGCTAATAAAAATTTGCATTTATGTGCGCATGTACATTACACTTTTTAAAATAACCGCTTTTGAGTACTATTTGATGTTTATGAATCCATTTTATGCCGAATCTATCGAATAGTATGTGCTAATACGAGCGATTTTTGCTTAATTTTTTTAGGGATTTTCGATTTTCTGCAGTTTATCTTGCCTTCTCGTTTATATGATTTTTTTTGTTTGACCTCTGTGTTATGCTAATTTTGTTCACCTCAATTGAAGATGTTTTTTCTCTTTTTTTTTGCAGGAACAGATCTAAAATGACCGATGCATGCTTACGTGCTAGTCGTTTAAATCCACGAAGTCTGACTTCGATTTTCTTTTATTCATTTTCTAACATAATCTGTTTTCATTCAGTTTTTTTTTTATACATTTGTCACAATTTTATCAGGTTTTATTGTTAATATTTCAATAACTCATCATGAAAGCACTTCTTTTTTCACTTGCTCCAATTAATGTGGTGCAAGTTTTTTTCCCTTTTTTGATTTTTTTTTTGACTTGAAACTAATAAAAGTGGAGTATTTTTGAATTTATGATGATCATGGACCAGAAAAATAAACCTGATATATGCGGGCAAGGAATTAAGGAGACATATTGAATTGATAAAAACAACGGCTAATCAGAAATATCATTCTCACATTGAATTTCAAGGGTTTATTTTGATATCAAAATACTCGAAGTGTACGGTGATTGGATGAGTATATCTTATTGATGGCGTTACTATATAAATTAGCATAAAACAGACTGAGGATAATAGCAGGACATCAGTTTAATTTATCTCTGTAGTCTGTACGGTCGTTTATGCTCGTTCTGCAAAATATGCAAAAATCTCCGTAGGAAAATGAATATTTTGACTTTAATTGTATTCATTGATTGGGAAGGGTGTTGTGAAGTAACCGTAAAACTTCGTCACAATATTATTTCTTTTAAGATAAGAGTTTTTCTTTTTTTTCTAGGACATAAGAAGAGAGTTTTTTTTTTCCTGAGAAATATTCGAGAAACTCAGTAGACAAGTGAACAACTGACGCGGATTATCTGTAAGAGTTGCAAGAAGATTTTAAGAGTTATCGCAAATGTGGCTAGTTTACTCTAACATGTATTGTCATTCGATATGATTAAGTGTTCAGGAAAATAGAATTAGATAGCATGGCAAATTTTGAAAATGATTATGGTTCTGGCTATTTTTAGAGGTATCTTTTGAGTAATAAAAAGATACCCTTCAAAAAACAATAGTAATGATAATTCAACAAAAAGTAATGATAATTCGAGAATGACAATGTTAAGTATTTAATTATATTTTGCAGGTTCTAATAATGCCACCAAGAATTGTGCGTCACCGTTCTGTAGTACCAGCAGTTCATCGAGAACAAGTTAAGGGAAGTTATAGTTGGGGTACATTTTTGGGAAATCTTTTGAGGACACTTAATCGTTCTGGTGATGTTCGCTTACGTTGTCCTGATACTGTTGTTCCCGTGGAAAGCTTTCATGAAGCTTCGTTAGTCGAATATATGAGGAGTATTGATACAAGCGTTAAAGTATATTTTGATTTTTAATTGCTTTAAACTGTCATACGTATGGGAATCTTCAAATCTTTATTGTTTTTATAGTTGAAATGAACTAATCATAGTAATTCTTCAAGATGTAATAAGTTGTATTTCTTTTCCAAGACTGAGGCTAAGTTTTGAGCATAATATTTGTTATTAATCTTTTCAGGTTGAAGTGGCACTACTCGGTGATTATGGTTATAGGCATGAAACTTTAAAATTATATTGGTTTGCTCGAGTATTGAAAGTTGGTGATATTTCAATCAAAAATTCATAATATGAAATTTAAAAGATTTTTTTAAAGCCTTTTTCTTCGAGATAATGAACATAATTCCAGATTTTGGGTTATCGCATATTGCTTCGATATGAGGGAATGGATGAAAAAGATGATAACATATATGATTTTTGGGTCAATATTAGTTCACAGGATATTAAACCCATCGGTAAATTAATTATGTTATATTTTTTATACCTTGTTTAGTTATTTATTCTAAACTGTTGTCTCAGTTCATTAATTTTTATTTCCCTTTTTGTTAGATTTTTTGAATACACTGATTTTATCGTTTTTTTAATTTTCGAAAAAATCTACGGGGTTAACAGATTATTGATTATTGACACTATAGTGAATGCAGCAGTTGAATCCGCACAATAATTATTGATTTGCCTATCTCATACTCAACTCACCAATAAACAAGCAACAGTTTAATAAAATCTCTATGCATAAACATTTCGAATTTTTTTTAGATTTCTGCTCCGTGTTGATTTAATATTCATAATTTAAAATTAAAGTTAAAGAAAATGATGTATGATTACTTTGAGATATTGCTTATAGGAAGTATAAGTAAATGTTACTTACTTAATTCTTCTACACTAGCTAATTACATGTATTACAAATTATCTTTAAGTGGGTATTTCTTTTTGCTCAAATGATATCGTTCTCGATGAGCATTATCTTCTAGGCATTCCCTGTTGTAATTGTTTAAAATCGAAATAGCATGTTCAGATAATATGGGAATTGGTCACTCCAAACCATGGGATATATGGTTTATTCAAGTGATTTCATTTATTTATTTTAGGTTTTCTTTATTTTATAATTTAATTTTTTGTTTGATTATGGGTTTATCAGAGATGAAACTGCCTGATTACTTTATTTATGAGATAAGAAATTTCCAAGGAGACAGAGTGCACGTATGGAAGAGATAAAATATGTAACAGAATTGACAGTTTATGAAGTAAAAAGAGCAAATAAGCAAAGATTTCCATATTTGCACCTTTGTAGAATCATTTGTGTATTTGAGAATTGAAATATTCACACATATTTGCCTTCTCTAATGCGGCTAATTTAATTATCGATGCACTTTCGAAGCATGTTCTGAATGTAATGAAGATATAAATGAAGCATTTAAAATTTATTTCATCCATATGTGGAAATAATTTAAGGAGTGTGATAGAAAGTTTAAAAGTTTAATAAAGTTTCACGATTCGGAAATTTGTTAGGTTATTGCGCAAAAGACATTGAAACTCGAGCTTTGGTGCCACCACAAATAATTCATGAACGACAATCGAATTGGCGACAATACATTCTTAGCCAAATACCGTCTTACAGAACTTTATCTATTAATTGGCCAGAAATACTGGTTCAGAAATTGACATCTCATAAATTCAAGGTCTGTGGATGAAAGATTTGATTTTACAGAAAAAAAAAGATGAAAACAACAGATTTTTTTTAGATCTCACATGTAACTTTCATTTTTAAATATTAATTGACAAAGATATTGATTTCTTGTTAATTTGAAAAAAAAAACTGTAGATTAAATTCATTGTTGTTGTGCGCATAGTGAACTGTATTTTTGTAGTTGAATTTTAAATGTGCTCAGCTTTATTGATAAGAAAGAAAATTTGAGATATTTAAAGGTAATCACATTTAATCTATTTAGTCGATATATTTAATTTAAATTTTAATATTTCAGATAGGAGATGAGGTGGAATTGCTAGATTCAATATATCGTTTGAGAGTCCGTCCTGCATATGTCGGACAAGTTATTGGTAGTCGAATATGGGTATCTGTAAGCGAAGAATTTATGATACGACCTACAATTATTAAGGGTGATCCTCAGGTAAGATCTGTACTTTGTAAAGGTGAATGGATTATTTTGACTATAATGTGGTGTAATTTGTAATTCTTTCAAAATGTTTGAAACTATTAAAGATTGGTGAAGGAGTTTGGATGGATCAAAATTCACCGCTAATCTTTCCTATTGGATGGGCGCGAAGAGTTGGATATATGCTGGAAGCAAATAGAGATTATTTTAAACATATAGAAAAAATTTCAACTGCTTACATGTTGGTGTGTTTTAAAAAATTTGATTAAATCAATCCTACTGTGGCTGAAAATTTTGATTGAAACTTTTCAAAAACGAAGTTTTCTTTTTAATTCTTGAACAGACTTATTGTTTAATGCAATTCGAGTTTCATTCAGTTCATTTATCCTCTTTTGAAATACTTTTGAAATAGTTTTCTTATTCATTAACATTTTGTAACAGACTGATGAAGGATAGCCTCTTTACATTGATTGATCGTTGAGTTTTTGCTATTCTTGAAATTATAATAATACTATACGATTAAATTTGTTTAAAGTAGTTAGATTTATTTAATTTGTTTTTTTTTTCTATATTCTCTGTTGCCCAATATCATTTTAGATGCCTTTTGTTTCTGGTATTATTTGAAGAAAAAACAAAACTTTTTTGAACTTGATTGCTGGCATTTTTATTTCATGTTTAAGAAACCAGTTGGTAATCCGTATCAAAAACATGACACGTTAAAAATAAAAACTGAAAAAGGTGAAATGATATGGGAAAAAGGAATGAAGCTGGAAGTACTGGATCCGTTTGGTACTTGGAATGAATTGCGGGTGGCAACTGTTACCGCAATTATGAATGATGGCTTTCTCAAAGTTGATATTTCTTTTCAATATTCTCATTTTTCAATTATTTTATGCGGTGTGCTAGAAGCATTTTGTAGATTTTCTAATCATCTGCATTTTAATATTCCAATGTTTATTTTCGGTTCTTATAGTTGAAAAGAAAGACGAAATAGCAAAAATTATGAATTCTGCATAAAATTTAATAGTATAGAGATTTTTTAAAGTAAATGAAAAGGAATTTACTTTATTTACTTAATTTCTAAGCAATTTTGCAGATCGGTTTTGATGGTGAAATGGAACATTACTCAGTGCCATTACATTACACCTCAGAGTTACTATTTCCTGTCGGTTATGGAGCTAAATATGGAATACTGGTGAAAAAACCAAAAAATGTACATGATCCAGGTTAGTGATATAGTCGAAATTTCAAAAAATTCAATATGGTGAGTGCTACTGATTCTTGAATACAATGCATATGATGGAGTTGAGAAGCATTTTAATGTGAAACACATTTAGACATGAAGTAGAATCATTTTCATATCATAATTTTAAATTTGACTGGCTTTGAAATTTCTTCTCAAAATGGAATTCTTCAGGAATTTTTAACTGGAGTATTTATCTGGAAAAAATCAATGGTGTTCCTGCACCTGAAGAACTTTTTCATACATTCAGTGATGACGTTTTAAAAAATTTTAAGGTTTTCTTTTACTAGTGATATTGGAGAATTATATTATAATCACTTGGTTCTTCTATCTTTGCAAATGGATTCCTAAAAAGTGAAAAGTAGGATAGAAAGGATGAGAAGAGAATAGAAAGCCTGAAATGGTTGTAGTTGGTGCCTTTTGAGATTGTTAATTTTTAGGATTTTTAAGAGATCCATTTTGTTGAAGTCTCTGTAAATGCAGTTTGTATTAAGAAACGTTGCGAAATATCTTCACTTTAATGGAGTATACATCAAAATTTTTTCTGAAGGTTGGAGCAAGTTTGGAAGCAACTGATATGTGCGAATCAAATTTGATATGTCCAGCGACAATATCAAGTCACCATGGACGACTTATGAGGATCTCATACGAAGGTTGGGGTAACAATTACAATCAACTGTTCGATTACAGGTACAATACTTCTATTTAATGATTAACTGTAAGATTAACATGTAGAAATTTTCATATGCGGATAGTACGAAAATTTTAGTTTCAAGGTTCAATTTATTCTATAGTTTAAAACGGTATAATCAATAAGGAACAATTAGTAGTATCATCAATAGAATGTAAATTATATGTAGTGGAAATGTGTAAGATCATGATAGAATATATGTTTTAGGAAAATTACAGCTAATTTGAAATATTAGTCGGTAAGAAATAATTGATGGCATCATCAATAGAATGTAAATTATATATAGCGGTAATGAAAATAATTATTTTGAAGCCTATTTGAATCAGGAAATTATTAGTCCCACTCTTCTCAGGCCTCTTCTAATTATTTTTTTAAGTGAATTTATTTTCAGATCACCGAATATTTTTCCTCTTGGTTGGTGTGAAATGCATGGTTATAGACTGTCATCACCGGCAATGGCGAAGAAAAGGAGGAGATGACCCTCCTAATCTTATTTTTTTCCTAATTCCAATTTTTTTTTTTAATATGAGATCTATTTGTGTTGTTTATCATATGTATGATATGCTTTCAAACAAAATATCCCAGTTTCTATTTTTTTAGGATGTCTTGAAACTTACGAAAGTTTACGTCTGCAAATTTTTTTTCCACATTCTTCAAGAAAAATGAAGATGAATTGAATAAAAAAATTTTTTGGAGTTATTGGCATGCTTTATGTGAATCAAATTGATTAATTGATATTACAAATTTGTTTACCTTGTTTACTTCTCGAAATTTTTATACATTTTCACATCATCTGTTTCATTCAAATGAAAAATTTTACAGATGATGTGAAAATGTTTCTTTGATTAACCGATGAAATGCAATTTTTTCAACAGTATGTAATTATTTACATTGATTTCATTCAAATGATAGGAGTGATAAATGATAGGAGAAGATTCGTTGACAGAGCTAATATCAGGGAAGATTTTAATTAAAAAATTCTAACAAATTGGTAATGAAGTTCAAAGTGGCAGTTTACAGTTTAAGGAAAGCATGATTAAACTAGTATGCAAATGACTCAATACTTTTTTTTTCTGTTTTATTTGGACAATAGACTTAAAACAGAAACTAAGCTTTATTGTGCATTTCAAGAAATCTTGTCATACAGGATTTCACGATTTATCGTTTATTTATTTATTTCGATTTTTATATCGGTGAAGTCGAGTTTTACGCCTGAATGCCAACGATTTTTTCCATTTTCGAGAATGTCTACTGGAGGATACATCTGAAGATGTGCTATGCTTAACCGATGTTGGCAGTGAACTTCGTCGATTCCATTTTCCAATTTCATCCGATGCTGTTGCTCGTACCACTGAGGATTTCCGTTCCTTGGCTTCCAGATTCCGTTTGTATATCTGCACAAAAGAAAACTGAACATAAATTTGTTCACAATTTATTTTTTCTTTCTTCTCTGTTTAACCAGTAAGTGTTTTCAGACTATTTAAGATAAGATTTTAAATTGAAATTTCATTCACTCGCCATCTCCGCTCTTTCTTAACTCACTCCAAAATTGAACGCGAAATGATTTAAGCAAAGAGTGCACAAAAGTAACAATACCTCTAGAGTGGGAGCAGAAGCTCGAGCTTCACCTCTTGTTAATATTGCACTTGTTTCTTCGGTTGTTTCTCGTAGTTTTTGAGTTGCTTTCTAAATTTAAAAACTGTCTTTTTTCCAGGAAATGAATGATCGAGGAATGTTGCAAGAAAGCAATAATTTCAACAATTAATTTAATAATTACACAAATAACTTTCGTCTATCTGCGGTGCATAAATTTTCACAAGACAATGATTAATCCTGATTTTTGCTTAAAAATTATCTTATATCCCTTCCGATCCCTCTATTACTAGGGAGCAAAATGAACGTATCTATAAATTTTGGTAGATAAAAGATCGGAGAATGAATATTTTGAATTTTTAAGCAAATGAAAAAAACTTAAATGATTCGGTAGAGAGGAACTAATTTAACTTACATCATCCATTTCACGCCGTTTTGCTAACACACTATCCGGTGACTTCTCCTCCAAATTGATTGAATTTTTCGATGAATCAATCCCATCTATCATATTTATAATACGTTCTTGTCCTGTGAGTAACTGAAAATATCCATTTTAAATTTTTCAAAATGCAAAAAACAATTTAATTTTTAACTTATTTCGAATATGCAAGACATCAATTTTCAGTCCTATTAAATATTCTGCCATCATTTGGCTATTCAAATTTTGTAAGCACATGATTTGTACATGATATATGTATTATCTATTTTTTAGTTGAGAGATTTTGTTCTATAAAAAATTCATACCGATGTGATAACAATTTAGGCAGCATCATCGTTTACAGTAGAATTAATTGTAGAAAAAGTAAGATAATCATTTAAAAAAATTTCTATCAAAATATCTGTCAATTTATTTGCATGATAGAGGTCAGTCATTCTTTTGCCCCACTTTTTTTCTGGAATTCTTGATTTTATTTTGTGTTTTCTCATAACTACTTTAAATGTTGATGTCTTCTTTCATTCCGAGATTGCAAAATAAAAACAATTCGGAGATGGATAACTTATCGTTAAACTATTATTATGGAAATTTTCCTGTAATAATGTAGACGAAAAAAATTACACAGCAATCGTATAGTGATAAGCTTGAAATCAAAAAATAGTTTTCAGGGCTTTATTGAAATGATTGTTTTCAGGTCATACTAATCGATCCGGTCAAAGAGTGTACATTCATTGCATGGTATCATTGAGAAATGAATGACTGTAACCTTTTGTGATTGCAGCACCGTACGAAGCCTTTTCACAATTTCGATAAAATCAGGCCTCTGCACGGCTTTTCGTTTCCAACATTGATGCATAATCTGCAAATTATGCAACAAATTTGAATGTTAGATAGTTGGCAAGAGATCAATTAGCCATGAAGAGCTTTTTCTTCCTTCTGGAACGTGAAAATCTACAGAAGCTGATGTTATGTGGACTTCAAGATATTGGATAGTTTTGTTGTTTAAAATAATTGAAAATGTAAAACCTCTTTGACATTTTTGTCATTTAATAATGATGGTGTGGCCATGATCTTTCCTTCTCTCACAAGTGGTATTATATCCTGAACCGTAGCAATATCAGGCCATGGCTTGCCACCGCATGAATAGACCTTTAAAAAAAACAAGTTTTTATCTACTGTACATTTTATTACGTCAAATTCAAAGAAAATGTAAGTAGAAAAAAAGAAAAAATTTGCGTAAAATCACATTCTATTGGAGTTATGAGAAAAAAAAAGGATTTGAACTTTGACCTAGTTATTAGCCACTTTATATTTACATATTTTTTGCTCAATTTATCTATCATCGTCTTATCCATATCTTTTCCAAATCTCCTTATTCAATTTGATGTAGAATTATCATTGAAAAGGCAAACTGTGACAATGAAATATGGGAAAATTATATATCCTTAAAATTTTCTCCTTTTTTTCTTCTACATTTAATTTGGTAAGAATTTAGTGAATAAAAATGGAACTCGGTTACCTCATAAATTAAAACTCCAAATGCGTAAACATCACTCTTTGTTGTAAACTTTGGCCTCCTTGATAGTGTTTCCGGTGCCATCCATGGTATTGGCCAAGCGATATTTTTATCATCACTGGACAAATTTCTGAAAGAAGAAATTAAATTCCGATTGGTTACTACCGCCTCCTTACATCTTTTAGTGCGAAATTAATTAAATGCATATATATTCCATATGGATTTCAGTTGTTAAGTAATACTCAAAGATGAAATAAATATTTGAGAGTTTTTAATTTGAATTCACGGTGTGAAATAAATATTTGAGGGTTTTTAATTTGAATTCAGGGTATGCAATTATCATTCTTATGAAAAGGCAAATTTGCATTGAAAATTTCAGTTTATATTTAATTAATTACTGCAAACAAAATTACTTCAAATCTTCCAAACGTTTGCTTAAACCAAAATCGGATAGTTTCAGTGAACCATTAATTCCAATCAAACAATTTCTGGCAGCAACATCCCTAAAATTATCACTATCCTAAGGGAATGCTCGGGAAATGTTGTGTCGTTGATAATAATTGTACGTATATCATCTCTTCCATCAACTACTAATGAAATCATTTCAATTAGAATTAGAAGCCATGAGTCATATAATAAAAGTGGGTAACTTTCTTACCACCTGTGGACACATTTTTTGAGTTGAAGATGTCGCAGTGCTTTAGCCGCTTCATACAAAAATATATTTCGCTCTTCATTTTTGATTGTTTCTTTATGTTTAACAAGTAAATTTTTCAACGAACCACCAGGACAGTATTCCATTACAACCTATAATGAAATGGAATAAAATTTATACGTGAATAATTTCCGTAAAAAACATCGATAGAACATGCAAAATGAGCATTTCAAAGAAATTTGAGATATCAAAATTCTTGAATACGTAAACGGTAAAAGAAAAAACTATTGAGAAAAATGAAAGACCATTATACATAATGTAACTGTTTATTTCATCATTACATTTTTTTTAAAGTACGTTAAATGTATCAAATACATCATCAATTATTCGAAATATATAAACTGGCATCAAGTTTATTTCATTCAAATAGCTTCAAAAAATTACCTTAACAGGTGCAAAATTACAAGCTACCCCATATATTTTAATGATATTCTCATGCATAAAGTCGCAAACTAATCGAGCTTCAGCAATCATTTGCGATTTCGCAAGCTTTATCTTGATGAAATCCTCGGCAGGTCGTTCACGAGTGATGCTAACTTTATCAATTTGTAAGCAACGTTTCACCGCAACAGTAATTTCTTCAGCTATAAGAATTAGTAATTAGTAATTAATAAAAATAATGCGATTAATATGTCCTTCGATAAATTTATTTGTAATTGTTAATGAATTGCATTGAAGCTTTCAAGAACTGATTATATTTGTCTACTACCTGCAATCTTAATATTCTAGGAGTTAATGAAAGCTATCGTTCACTTCTGATTGTTAATTAATTCCGATTAATAGATTTGAACAAAGACGTGAAACTGTAAAGGCAATACTTGCTAATAAGATTGTTCTACGTGATCTCAAGACGTCAAGAGTTTGAGAAGAATGAAAATGTAAATTTTAAAATATTCCTTATAGAGAGCATTTTACAATCTTTTTGTGAACGTCGCACTTAACGCTTATCAATGATAATTGCAAAAAATTAAAATGAGTTAACTATTCTCTCTATTGTTTCTTAGCTCTATCAATTAACTCTGCTTTCTACAATATTATCGCTAATGGTGATGAAAAAAAAAATTGAAATTTAGTTACGGAAATCGAAAAAAAAGTTAAAATAAAAATTGAAAAAAGTTAAATTGAAATTTAGTTACGGAAATCTCTTATTTAACAATAATTCTAGAAATATTCTAAAATTGTATCCGAAAATTCTATCCTAAAACTGAAGTATTTTAATGAAATATATAATTAACAAATGTCAATTGAAATGAATGATTACTAACTGCCAATTTTTAGCGTTCCTTTGAATACTTCCGCATAATGTCCCTCGCCTAATTTGATATCTGTCATCGTTAAATTTTCATCATTTAACAGATAATTGGGACGATTAATTGGATTTCGTAAATTCATCTAAAAAGTAAAACTTATATTAATATTAAATTTGAGAAGTAATAAGGAGTAGTTAATAATAGGATTAATTAATTATTGAATCGTTATCAAATGGCATATTTTGTAAAATTGAAAAGTCATTGATCAATCGCAAATCATTTTATCAATGCATCATTAAGTAAATCACGACAAATTTGAAACAAATAGATTTTATTTTAATTTGTTTAATTTTTTAATCTTATCAAATTATCCTTCAAATAACAGTTTCAAAAATCTATATCAAAACTGAAAATAAAGAACGAAAAAAAGAATGATTTTAGATGAGTGAAACTTTTTGGCAGAAACTTGATTCGCCGGATAAAAGTTCAACAATTGATCCGTACGTGATCAATTCATCATTTTTATTCGTATTCGTCATGTCCACCAATGTCCATCCTGTAAGCATCAAATCTTTAGAGCTAACCTTTTCTCATTAATTATGATTGTCTTGATAATTGTTTTTCAATTCATCTTCCTGGCAAATTTATAACAAATTCATAAATTTATAACGATCATTTATAGCTTTTTCAATCTATAAATCATCCTATAAATCAAATATCTCGAAATTCTTTTTATTTCTACCTTTCATTAAATTTTCTATAAGTGTGCATTTGTCATATATACGCATACCTTTCAAATTTTCCTTATAAACAAGCTTTAATTCACGCACATTTTTTTCATCCACTTTTGTCACGACAAATAGCAAACGTTTTGCATTGGTACCTGAACTACGAACACACCAATCGCCCGGTTTTGATAAATGTGATATAATATGACCCCTACAAAAAATGTATCTGATCGAATCGAACTCGAGACTCTCGTCTTACCAACCAATAAGTCGGCTTATTCAAATTTTACAGGAGGAATTCTTTTTTCTTTTCAATTAATGTCTTAAATTTCTTTGGAAATTGCAAACAGCGCATTAACGCTTCTCTCAAATTATTTTATTAGAATATCAACGATTTCTTCGTAGAAAGCATCATTGACATTAAGCGCATTTATTGTTTACCTTGACAAAAATCCCAAATACCATGGCTGCATCTCAATTTTTTCCATCGCTCATATCATTAAATCATATAAAATTAGAAATTCGCATAGCAAATGGCTGCTGATCGATTCAATGCTGCTTTTGTACTACTATTTATGCAAATTTATGTCACCTATATGCACTGTAATTTATGAATATAAGGTAAATTTAATATGATACCACAAAATATAACATATGTTGCTTCACCGCGACGAAATGTATGCATACGCCGTGCTGTCATAATCTTCTTAAATATTTTTTTTTTGCAAAATATTTGACAGGCAGAAACTGAATCCTATTTCA